ATGTGTCCTGCAGTGACATGAAACCTCTGTTAGAACAAGTGGATACTCTGTGTTCAGAACTGAGCGTTTTATTGAATTGGAGTCCGAGATAAGCTTTGTCTTTTTTCAGTTACTGTGATAGCTTCATGATAAACACACTCTTATAGTCGTGCTACTGTTGCTAGCTTTCAGACTTTTATCCCGAAAATGTAATAATGCTGTGCAGCAGTTTTACAAATGTCCAGATGATCAAAAGCCATCTTCAGGTATTTGCAGGTTTGCTTTTTTGTTTTTTAAAAAGGAACTTGAATCGTAGAATCTGGTTGGAAGAGACCCTCAAGATCATCGAGTCCAACCATTCACCCTGCACTGTCAGGGTCCCTAAACCATGTTCCTCAACACCAAATCCACATGGTTTTTAAACACCTCCAGGGATGGGGACTCCACCACCTCCCTGGGCAGTCTGTTCCAATACTTCACAACCCTCTCTGTAAAGAAATTTTTCCTGATACCTAACCTAAATTTCCCCTGGTGTAACTTGAGGCCATTCCCTCTCGTCCTGTCATTCACAACATGGGAGAAGAGACCGACCCCCATCTCCCTACAACTTCCTTTCAGGTAACTGTAGAGGGCAGTTTCATTAAATGCAACTGTCTGTGAACACCACACAGCTTTCAAAGCAGTCTTGAAATTTCTACCACAGAAAACAAGCAAAACCACCAAACCAAACCCTTCTCTTTTTCACCTTTGAAGTAGGCCTCTGATCTTGTCACCTACTCCGACCACCATAACTTCTTTCCCTGCGTTTGAGAGGTTGGCAATCTCATTCTTCAAGGTTTTAGCAACGGATGTATGGATAGCGCCACACAGACCTCGATCAGAGGACACACCAATGAGGAGGTGCTTCTTCTTGTCCTCAGGTGCCTTTATTTCTGCTTTCTCATAAAGAGCTAGAAAAGAAGATGGAGAAGTTATTCAAGGGTGCCAGGAAGCACATAAATTTTATCAAAACACCTGTGAATTATTCTAAACTAAAAAGGGGTTTCAAATCACAGTCAGATGAATTCTGCCTCCCTCACAATCATTCAAGTCTGCGTGTGTCTAACCAGTGGTGACAAAGAAACAATTCGAAGCCAGTCACACCTCTGCATCAGATAACTAAGTAATGACACTGATTATGTGACAACTTCGCTGTGCAAATCCACGGCCTCAGGAGCACGTGCAGCCGAAGAGCTTGCAAGGAGATGTGGCAGTAGCTGTGGATGCTACAGAGGCAGGACACAATTCCATTAACAGAAGCAGGCCAAAAATTCAGAGTTATGGTGCTTTTATGACGAACAAATACAATCATAAAAAGCTAAAAAAGTAATAAAATCAAAATGCACTTCACATTAGAACTCTTCAAAATCACTTTTCATCAACTACTTATAAGGAACACTCAAGGAAGCCTAGAGATGCAAATGCTTTTGGAAAAAAAAACTACCAAAAGGTTAAAAAACTCTGGGCATTTTATCACCACCATGAAAACCTTCTTCTTCTGTTCCCACATCATCCAGTGCAAGAGTCATCTCTCACCCAGTGCTCCTGTTCCATAGACTCGAGCAGGCTTCAGCTCCCTCTCAGCTCTTGCGTATTTTGCTGCAGACACCATCTTCATGGACTTTGTAATCTTCTGAATGTTCTTGATGGACTTCAAGCGCCTGGTAACTACAAGGTTAATAGTTGAAGGTCATGGACTGTACTGGGCATAACGATATCAAAACCAAGTGGTAAAATACCAGCAACAATCACCCAAAAATATCTTGCCAAGTTCCTCAAAGAAATAAACCAAATAAAACCAAAGAAATGATGCACAAATAAACCTCACAGAAGACATGCCCCTAGTATTTACAGTAAGAAAGTGGTAATCTGGCTAAACCAAACGCATCTTTACAATAAGTATGTTTTTTCCCCCAGACATAACATTTAATATTTAGCCCAACATAAGATCTATTTACTATTCTCTTTCTTTCCACTTCTGTATATTTCACAAATATATCATTTGAGGTATATTGTCATCTTTTCCTAGATGACAAAGGGAGGGAAAAAAAAAAGACACCATACTATAAAGAAAGAGAATAAACTTCCTTCTCTGTTAAAATTGTGTCGAAATCAAATTCAAATAGTGATGCAAAAAGAAAACAAAACAACTGTCCTATAGGCAAGTGCAATTCCAAGGCAATATCCCTGAAAAAGAAGACATGAGGAATGGCTTAAAGAGGCATTATCAAAGTAAAACCTTTTTTATCAAAGTCAACCTTTTTTTCCCCAACGTTGGATAAATGCACAGGGAAATAAACATAACAGAAAACTAATTAATTCTTAAAGGTGAGCAAAACTCTGGATTTTCAAAATATGTTTGAGTAAAACAATATTGGCTTGCTGAAATGACATCTAATTTTGTGCTAAAACCATTTTATCCTTTTCTGAAAAACACTTACTTAATACAAGAAGTATTGGAGGCTCATATATCAACGTTACGGTGTAGCACAACCAGTTTATCCAACAGAGCCTAACCAGAATGACACTTTAACATATGGTTCTCCTGCAGCAATCTCCCTCTCTCAAAAGCAATCAGAAGCAGTACTTACTGTCTTTTAGAGTTGCCATATTCCTGACTTGGCCCCTGAAAACAAATGCAGGAGCCATTAGGATAGTTCATAGATTCACAGATTTCTAGGTTGGAAAAGACCTTAGAGATCTTCCAGTCCAACCGTCCCTAATCCCCATTAAACCATATCCCTAAGTAGTTCATCCACTCTATTCTTAAACACATCCAAGGATGGGGACTCAACCACCTCCCTGGGCAGCCTATTCCAGTGGCTGACAACCCTTTCAGAGAAGAAATACTTTCTAACATCCAACCTGAATCTCCCCTGACTAAGCTTATACCCATTTCCTCTTGTTGTATCACCCATCACTAATGTAAAGAGCCCCCCCCACCTCCCCACCATCCCTTCTCAAGTATTTGTAGGCTGTAATCAGGTCTCCCCTCAGCCTCCTCTTCTGCAGGCTAAACAGCCCTAACTCCCTTAGCCGCTCCTCATGAGTTTTATTTTTCAGCCCCTAACCCTAACTCGTAAGTTTTATTTTTCCAGTTCTCCAGCAAACCAACATCTATCAAGAGCAGGTCTCTTTCAGAGGGATGAAAATTTAAGAACTGCTGGTTCTTAAAACACATCTGTATCAGGGACAAGCCACTCTAAACCAAACTTTGTATCCAGATCTTCCTCCCTTCTCTTTATCTCCTGTTACATCGTTTATAATTTAATACATTATCCGCTGCCTTAGATAGCAGCACGATGAAAACCAAGGCCAGACAGCACGGCACCAGAAGAGCCCAACTTTCAAAAACCGTAACTGGTTTTTAAAAATTATTAAAACAACGCAGAGAAGGCGACACCATTTCCTGACGA